TTAAATGTTTTGGAAAACATTTTCCTTATCAATTCATTTTTCCTCCAATTGGAGGAAAATGTTTTCCTTATCAAAAGAAGGGAAAACATTTTCCAAAGCTCCTTCTCAACCTTTCTCACCCTCACCAACCCACCCCACCCCCTTTCCAAAAAAAGGTTTTTTTTTAAATTTCAGTTTTTCCGTTACCATCCACCCTACTACCCCTCCATCCCCCCACCCCCCGCTAAAAAAATATTTTTTTTACCTTAAATTTTTTTTTTTCCAATTTCAAATTTCTGTTTTTTCATTTTTTCTGCACACCACCCCCCATCCCCCACGGCACAATTTTTTTTTTACTTTTTTTTTTGTAATTTAAATTTTTGTCTTTTTTCGTTTTACTGCCCCCCCCCCCCCCGAAAAAAATTTAAAATATATTTTTTAGTTTTTAATTTTATTATTTATCGATTTAAAGGCTCAAAATTTTACAAGTTCCAAAATTATGAGTTAAGATTTTTATGTGTTTGGAAGTTTACGGGTTTAGAAATTATAAAGTTTACGGGTTCGAAAATACGGGGTTTTGCGTTAAAAAAGTAAAGCATCACATTAGTTCCTTTAGATTGTGTCAATTTTTAGAGACTTCGGGAAGGGGTGGGGGAGGGAGGAGGTGGGAGGGGGAGGGGGAGGGGTGAGGAGAGTTGCATAAAAAATATTTTCCTAAAAAAAACTATTTTCTACTCTTTAACCAAACAATAGAAAATATTTTTCGGAAAATGTTTTCCACTTACCAACCAAACAAGAGAAAATAAGTGATAAAACCACTCATTTTCCATGAAAACATTTTCATGGAAAACATTTTCCATGGAAAACATTTTCCTTCGTACCAAACACACCCTTAATTTTTAATTCAAAACTTGAAAAGCATTTTCTACATCAAAGTAGGTTTCTTTAACAACTTCCCATACATCCATTGTAGTGGGCAAAACTAAGTATGGTTTGCTTATTGTTTGTTCCATAGAGTTTAGAAGCCACGCAATCACCAATTAGTTCTTGAACCTTCGGGCATTCATCATTGGATATCCAGCTTCAGGTTTCCTGACTTTCACCGGTCAAGTGCCCAAGTTTTCCTTGTCCATCAATCGCTAATCAAACATATTGTGTCCACTCTAGATAACTTTTTCCATTCAACTTATGGGATGTTAGTTGAGAGGATAAATGAGATGGATAAATGATAAGAATATCTGCTTTGATTCATGGTAGTCTCAGCTGGGATTGCACTAACAGAACTATCAACTTATGTTGTTGCCACGGGGATTCTTTGCCCAGTAAAGGCTGTTTTAATGATCTGATGAAGAAACAACTATTGCTCTAATACCATGAAAGTTTTGGTATTGGAATAGTATGTTTTATTTATTCAAACAACATACAATTTATAGGAAAAAAGATCAATAAAAAGAAAAATAATCCATTAATTCTAGATAGTCTAGAATTAAGAGATAATTCTAATCTCAATATAATCGCTAAGAGTTCAAAAATTTCTTAACTCTTCTGATCTTTCTCATATGGTCATTAATCCGATAATACGAATCAACTCTATCAGAAACTTCTCTAACTTATCTTATCTGATATGATCCCACTTCATCATAATTAGATACTCCCTTTGTCCCAATTATGTGGCACACTATTTTTTTTAGTTAGTCTCAAGAAATGATAAGTCTCTATATTTACTTATTTAGTAATAATTTCACTTTAAACTTCCTATTTTACCCTTAATGTGATGATTTATAGCCACATAAATTTCTGTATTATGATTCGAAACCATAAGTTTCAAAAGTCTTTCTTTTATTCTTAAATTTTGTGCCCAATCAAACACAATAACATAAATTGGAATGGACGGAGTAATACAAATCAACACAAGAACTTTAAAATCTTTCCAAAAGGTGTTTAATATATGAGAAACAATATTCTAGTCTTTGGCGGGAAGACGCTAGGAAATGCTTGTTGCATATCTACATCCCACTTAGTTATACTTGTATGCTATGTTTGAGTTGATAGTGATTGTGGAGGAAGTCCGAGTAACTAGTATCTTCACTAGTATTAGTTGCAGAATTTGAGTAAATGAGCTAAGGCATATCTATAATTTTGTATTGGCAATAATCTATATTTATTTCGTAAAATTTTGATTGACTTATCAAAAGAAAAAAAGAATGTCGAGATTTTTCTGGTGATGCTTTTTGCTAATTTGAATCGTCAAACTCCATCTCTTAATGAACATCCTTCTCGGTGGTAGTTGGTGTAGACTTAGTTAAATACTAGATGTAGCAGCCCACGCAAAGCATATTTTGCATGGGCCCAAGCCAGACTTACATTCAAATGCAGGAACTCAAGGAGCCTTTTGGAAAAATAGTTTCCATAATACCTCATTACGTCATACATACAAGCTTAGTAGATGGTCAAGACCAGGCACAACTTAAATGCATATTTTATCCCTAATAGGCATGGTATAAATATGAACCTTTCTCCATCCTTGATGTTGTCCTGATCGGCAACTGAGAATAAGCACACGCAACTCTACACAAATCAAGCTTTGTCACGAGCTTTGCAAATTACTTGATAATAGAAAAGGGAAAGAATGGCTGGAATCTATTTTAATGAAGTTGAAGCAAAATCAAATACGAGATGCTCATAGACCGCCCTGTGACATTGTGCATTGGTGTGTCCCGGTTCTCTATATCAAATGACGACGGAGGAAATAGCAAACAAGAGAAATCCTAAAAAGAAAAAAGGAAATAGAGGAAGAAGATATAGAATGATAAGGATCTTGATACCAAATTTGATAGAATTAGGCTACAATTAGTTTATAACACTAATTACATCCTAATTACGTAATAATTGACCCAAAGATATTAAAGATAAGAGAAGAAGATTGCCAAAGAAGATCTACACCTTCAATGGCAATCCAAGGAGCTCTTCAAGAACTCAATAAGGTCTCCTAAGAGACTCACATAAACATATCATCCAAAAACTAAAAGTAAAAGACTCACCATTTGGCTAAGTAAGCTAATGGGCTAAGGCCCAAGTCCAAATACATAAAACAAGGAAAAGCCTAAACTAAGTAAAATGGGTTGTGTGGCAATGGGGCATGTATATGGACAATGTATGATCTCTCTCAAGTCTCTAATGTTGATCTAACGTGGTCAACCGTGATCAACCCTTGGTCAAACCCGCAATCAAAGACGGTCAACTCTTCGTAGAGCTCCCGGGTCTTTTCAAATAATGTATACTCATGATCTATTTATAGTCATCTCCCTTCCTTCAAAAAAGATTTGTTCCCAAATATTGACTTGTAATCAAAAGAACACAAGGTGTAAAGCCTCAGAACATTTCATAAGAATCATTTGACTACAAATTATTCTAGCCAACGTGACTTTGAACAAAAACTCTTTAACCATATTTGTTCCCATCATCATATAAAAACACTTGTGATAGAGCATCGAGGGTGTGGCCTAGTGGTTAATGAAGTGGATTGAGAACCATAGGTCTCAGGTTCAAATCTAGCGGAGACAAAAGTACTAGGTGATTTCTTCCCATCTGTCCAAGCCTTAGTGGATTAAGTTAACTGGTACCTGTTGCTGGTGGGAGGTAGCAGGTATCCCGTGAAATTAGCCACGATGTGCGCAAGTTGGCATGGACACTACGATTATCATAAAAAAATACACTTATGATAGATCCACACATCACCAATAAGGAATGACAAAGAGTCCTTTCACACCACTTAACACTTGTTTCATCCAGCAAAAGTAGTGACATGTGATTAATATATCAAGTATGTGGGGGAAAACAACTAAAATGATAGTAACGTTCAACTCAACCACAATCAAGTGTTCATTCCAGTGACTTCTTCAAGCATACACCACTTATCATGTAGCCAAGTATCATCAAAGATAATAAAGATCAAACTAACTTATCTCATTGTGATTCATCTTGATGTCGCTTTTCAAGTGAGTATTGTCCATCAGTTCCTATATTCTCCATGTGAAGCTCACGGGGATGCAGAAATCTGTATCCTTCGACATATAAAATTCTGTCCAGGAAAAGGTTTACTGTATGATGATCAAGGATTCATATGCAGTACTTCTTTTCTATTTTGTTTTTGGGATTTTTTTAAAATTTAGAAATTTGGGATGTCTTTATGATGTAATTAGGCCTTTGTAGATGTCGATTGACTATATTTACTGCCAAATGGATGCTTTAACCTTTAGCTGGAGACTTTTTAATGTTTGAAGGCGATGATATGAAAGAGAAAGGAAACATTTCCTACTTATCAAAAGAAAAAAAAAGGAACCATTTCCTTTATCACAGGGTAAACAATTATATTTTCCGGCATTTAATAGATTACTTATACAAATCACAAAATAAAAGAATGAATTTCAAATAATGGTATCATGGTAAAGCACAACCCAAAATATAAATGGACAGAATGATCTAGCTATACCATCATCGAGCCGAAAAGCGCAAGTACCATGTGAACTCGTGTTATGTATTACAAAACACTTCATTCTTCTCTCTTTTTTTGATGTTGGATTTGCATAAAGTGTCATATGTACCTCGTTTTTCAAAAACTTGCCAGCCTAGAAGCTTGCTAATCCTTTTTTTTGAACCCCCCCCCCCCCCAAAAAATCAGCAGCGTCACATACACCCCCTTAAGGGGCTTAGTGTCCTCGGTGAGGTTAGCGCCACATTGATACCATATTTGTCACAACCCAAGCTCATGACACATATTGTTCGAATTGGCCCAAAAGATCTCACGGGTTTGTCCCCTGGATTACGCCACATAATTTCTCTTTGGAGCTGAACTCAATTCTGTTAGATGGCCGATTCATAGTTTTTGTCGCTGGATGGGAGTCTCTTCATAATATCTTCTTCATTTGACTTCTTTTATGCAATTTCTTTGTTCATTTTCTTTTGCGCACTTAATGTGACATATAGTCTCATCCTCTTAACTTAAGTTGCATTCTTTGCAGGTTGTTTTTGATCATGACGGTAAGAGTTGTTATTGTATCATTTCTTTCTCTTTGACCATTCTCAGTTTTCGTCTCTGTCATTATGTCTTGAGCTTTTGGCAGAGTTTCTCTAATTGCATCGCCATCGTTTCATGCGTATTACTTTTTGATTAGACAGAGCCTATGCAGTTTTGGTGTATGTTTTTCCTTGCTTATCTCATGTTTATCGACACAATTCTCTGTTGTTATTGTACTTCTTAAAGCATTTGATATAGTTATAATCCTGAAATGTTATTTATGAAAAGCAGTATGTTATTCAGAATTTGTGACTTCAATTCAAATTTTCAGTCGTCATTCCTTATATCAGGATGAAGGAAAGAAGTGATTTTCCCTTTTAACTTGTTATTTTTATTTTTTGATATTGAGCTCATGTTGAAAGCAAAAGAAAAGCTCTTCCAGCTACTATTGGAATTATTGCCTCATTTTCCCTTTATTTTGCTTTCTTAAAACTTTCTTCACAAGGTTCATATGAATTGTGAGGACAAGTTAACACATTTTTTATGTCATCGCGGAAGGACCATGGTAAATTCATCTTTACTGTGTAGGTTGACAGTTTACTATCCAAGCTTCGCAAGCGCATTTGACCATTTAAGCTCTAAATAATTGTTGTATTTTTGTTATCTCTAGCTTTTTACCCAAAATTCGAAGTCAAACGAGAATGTTGTCCTCGTTTGCGTTGTGATCTAAGGCAATAAAATTTTGCTCTACAAAAGTGAGAGTGCTTTATTTGTAGATAAGATTTGAAATGACAAAAGAAAAGTGACTAGTTATCTACTCTGACAATCCAAACTGATAGGTATAGGTATTGCTGAGTCCTCCCTCTTCAATAGCCTGGTGTAAAGGACTTCGCCTAAAATAAGCCATTTCCTCTTCCTTTCCACTTTCTTAAATCCTGATCTAATTGTGTGATATTCTATATGTAGAGTACCTCCATCATTCTCTGTAGTTCCTCTACCACCCAGTTTTGTAAGTTTCTCCTGAATCTTAGGTATCCCATGCTGCACCTCTTGTTTTATTTTCCATATACCTGATTTATTGGTTACTCCCTCTAACTCGATATGCGAAACACCGAAGCGTAGGTGACGCTTAGGGAAACTAATTCACATACAATTCCACTTATGTAAGTGGCGCTGCCGCTGAACTCCTCCCATCCTTATATGATGCTCCCTCATTACCCAAGTCCATAAGTAAAGTGATGTTTTCAGTCCTTCAACCTCCTACATGTGTGCCATATTTTTCCGGTATTACTATCTCCAAAGTGCCTACTACTCAATCTCAATTCTCCATATCTAAGCCCTTAGCGGGGTAAAATAACAACATATCACATAAGTTCGAGTTTCTTTGAAAGAATTCTTAAAAAGAAGAAGAAAATTTTGAGATGTATAGAATGGACAATCCAACGTATAGAACATGTAAAGGACGTTCTTGAGGCGTACGAGGTGGACAACACAAAGTGTAAAGCAGGTACGAGGCAAGCCCATTTCTCGAGGTGTTAGTTCCATGAGACTCAAGTCCCCATGGCCACGTTGGTGCATTTAAATGCTACCTCACACCGGGGCAAATCAAGATATGAGTCCTAACTTTCTTTAAAACGCTGGAATACATATCTGATCGTGGATCATTACTGTCGCTGCAATAATATAAGTTGATAGCTCTTTTTGTTTGGATTTTGAGTCAACTAGCTTCCGTACTCACTTTTCTTTTTGAAAGAGATCAATGATACTAAAAAGATGTCTGATAATGATAGTAAGGTGCAATGACTTTCAGAATTTAGATACATAGTGCAACCTTGGAAAGTTTGGCTGGCAAGTAGCTGAACCTTACTTAGTGCAGACGATAAAGTGCAGATCTAAGTTGCTCAGACACGGGTGCGGATTTAGAGGTTGGATCCTTCGATATGTAATTCTAAGATTTTGGGGATATAGATCCTAGTACGGATTCGGGTGCGGGATCCGTCTAAAAGTAATTCAAAAAAATAAAACAATCTCTATAATACGAGAGATTTTGTGGAATACTTACGTATAGCTTGTAAAGTGTGGATTTCTTTTTTATTCTCAAGTTGAAGATAAGTAAAAGATTGATTTCCTGAAAAGAAAAAAAAAATGATTTCCTAGATAAGGTATGCTATTTTCTTTAAATTTACCCTAGTTTTGGTTCTGATTTCGGGAATCAAATTGTATCTTGTCTCAAATTTTTCCGTCCGTCGTGGTCAAAGTAACCAAATTGTTTGATCAGATCTGGTACGGATCCCATACCCACATCCATACTAGTGTCGTGTCGATACAGGTGTGGCACCTAAACTGCCGTGTGAGCAACTTAGGTGCAGATAGTGTGTATTATCTTTTTACTTATTTCTTGATAGTTATAATGGAACTTCTGTCTTAAACAGTTAAATATCTTCTTGTGATATATTTTTGTGAAATTCAGGTTTCTTTCTTGAGATTTTTTCTTGGACACCGGTTTTTTGATACAATTTTGCTAGCATAGCGTTGATCTACACATCATCAATAATTGATGAAAGTTTTTCAAAATAACTGGGACTAAGCGAGTTTCTCTTAATAATGTTTGTCAAATCAAATCCTTACAGGATTTCCCTTTGGTCATACATCTCTTTCAACCAAACAAAATTTGGTTGCAAAAGGTATGTTTCTCTATGTTTCTTCTTCTTTTGTCCTTTTCTGAAGCTTACTATGTTGAGAGCCAAGTGAGAGGGTTTCTTTGGTACTGATGGACGCTAGAGATTTTAGAGATTCCAACAGTATCTTATGTATGAGATAAAAACTTGTTACAAACCTATCCCAGTTGGACACTGTCCCTAAGTACGTAACATAAACTGCAATGCGGTATATCAATTTCTGAATCTTCGTGATGATTAATTCATGTCATATTCTTGTGCTGCACCATAATGTCAATTTTTTTTCTCTTAATAATTTGATGCTAGAGAAGATATGTTTGTTTCACTTTTCAATTTCTTTTTTTGTTCACTTCCTTTTGTTTTGGAAGGAGAGGGAAGATGTAAGCTCTTATTTGGAAGTGGCTTGGTTGAGCACTTACCTATTGTTAACAGTGACAGTTTTGATGTTAGTGTACAACTTAGGTATTCACGTTGGTAAAAGTTCTTTCCGGAAACGATAGGATAATTTATTCCAGTTCTGAAAATGAAGTTTGTTCTCAGGCAGGTTCTTTTATTTCTATGGTTTGCCAATTGATGTGATTTCAGATATACGAACTTCCTTGTTGCAAGATAATAGAAAGTGCATGGCTTATAAAGAGAAGAAATTTACATGTGCATGATAGTAATGGTAAATTTTCTAAAGAAAAGGGAAGTAGTAATTGTTGAATAGTACGTATAGGAGATATAACTTCCAAAAGTGCAAGTGTTGCTTTTAAATTATCAGTCTTTTCTTTTGTGGGATAAGGCCTTTAATAAATCACTATGATAACATTGCAGATCGCATTGATAATTTAGGTCTTACGTGTTAGCCAAAATTATTTGAAGCTTTATTCTCTTGTCAATAGTTCCATTTCTAATATTCTAGATTATTTTGCATAGGCCTGAATTTTCGTCACAATATGTACCCCTCTTACAAAAGCAATCGTCCTCCAACACCTGATACAATTGTTCAAGGACTTCAATTTTTGAAAGCTTCCCTTAAGGCCATGTCTGTCAAGGTGATTGAGGTGAGGTTCGTCGAGTACTGGGTCAAAGATCAATCCTCTAAGCTTGCAAGATGCTAGGTTCATTTGTTTCTTAAGCAGGTGCCAGGTGTTGAAGCTGATGATGTTATTGGAACCTTGGCTGTTAGGAGCGTTGATGCTGGATTCAAGGTAGATGAGGAATCTTTCTAAATTGCTAAGCGGGTACAAAATTACCTGACATAAAGCATTTCATACCCATACTTTTCTGCCTTCTCATCTTATGTCAACCGTAACTGCTAGAATCAAAGTTGAGCCACTTAAACAAAATAATAAAAATGAAAAATAAAAGTAAAAAACTGTATTGTAAGAAAAGAGTCTCGAGTCTACTTAGAGTGTCTCTGACTGGTGTTGTTGAAATATTATCTTGACCTCATCTTACAGTATTTTCATTTGCCTTCAACAGGCCTGTCTTCTCTTTGAAATGTTAGAAAGCAAAAGTTTCTTTTCTAAAGAAAACTGATGGAATCCAGAGGAAAAATGGATAGGAATATGGCTGTAGGTTGGGAGTGGAGCAGATGTGGGAACGTTTTCTGCCCATCCCCACCATTGCAAACCCTCCACCTGCAACCCCATCTTTACCATGGTGGCCTAGTCTCTTTGTGCACACGCCCATCCATAGGCATTTATTGCCTTCAACAGGCCCATCTTGATATAGAGAAGAAATCTAACTAGCACTTTGAGTTTGAGATAAAAGTAAAAATTGTAGTAGTGATCAGTAACGCTCTATTGATGACCAAAAACAAAATTTTGAAATATAACTTTAACATGGAAGACGTTTGTTAGGTGGCCACTTGTGTCACGTGCCACAAGCCAATACTTGTGGTTGAAGAAAGCACGAGAAATAGGACAGGTGGTCATCCGTAGCTGGAGTAGAATATCAGTGATTTTTGAAGGGTAGGCATGTGTTTGAATAACTGCATGAGGAAGCCTGTATCTTTTAGTTTGTCTACTGAAATTTGGGTTTCCATCTAATAATCAAATTTAACTCTTGGATGTATATATGCAATGAAGTTATTCTGGAGTATAATATAATCCAGGAAGAACCACACCCCAAAGCTTGCTATTAAGGTTGGAGAGCTCAGGGCTATATGTTGACCAGCTCAATTATAGGAGAAGAATCTGAGAATCAAATTTGTAATTATAGCTTGATTGTAGCATAGCTTGATTGTAGGAAGATTATATTGTTGAATATTCTCTCATTATTTTCATTTATTTACTTTCCTAGAATAGTCGTAGGACTTTTGTATAAAGGCATGTATCAGTAGGATGTAAAATACATTGAAATACAAAGAAGCCTTCTCTTCTTCTCGATTTCATCATAGTATCAGAGCCATTGCTGCCCTTTTTGAGGTGAGTTTTCTCCCTTACTTTCCTAGAATAGCCGTAGGACTTTATTTATAAAGGCATGTATCAGTAGGATGTAAAATACATTGAAATACAAAGAAGCCTTCTCTTCTTCTAGAATTCATCATAGTATCAGAGCCATTGCTGCCCTTTTCCTGGTGAGTTTTCTCCCTCTACAACACTAGGGTTCCATAGGTTGAGTTTTCTCCCTCTCTCTTATAGTTTTCTTGCTAAAGTTTCTGTCCGAAGCCTTTTTTTCACCCTCTGCTAGTTCTGTACAAAAACTGGTATCACTGGAAGGATTATACCTACTGTACGACCTACCCAAACTAGTTTTAGATTTTTCCGAACTCCAGAAGACAAGTCCGGCGTAACTAGTTAGCTCCAAGAGCCTTTTTTCCAGATTCTGAAGGTTGTTTTTGGGTTACCAGATTCTTCTGTTTAGAATTTATATTCTGAAATTTCTTTGTGTGCTTCAGATTGTTCAAAAATATGGGGGGCTCAAAAACAGTAGATAACAATAATTCTGTTTTACATGGTATTAGTATGGTAAAATTGGACGGTGCTGGTTCGTATCTTGCCTGGTCAAGGGCTTGTTTGTTGTTTATTAAATTTAGGAAAATGATTGGTTATATTGCTGGAGAAAAGAAAAAACCTGCTGTGACTGATGCTGCTTACCGTCAATGGGATTCTGATAATTCCCTTGTTATGACTTGGCTTTTGAATACTATGCACCTTCGAATTTCTAAACAAAATTTGGTGCTTGACACTATTGAAAAAGTTTGGAATTTAGCCAAGCGTACTTATTCTCGCAAGGGAAATGATTCCGAGATCTCTGAATTCGAAATAAAATTCATGCGACTAAGCAAGGCGAGTTGACTATCACTGAATATTCTTCCGAGTTAAGCGGGTTATGGCAGGAGATTGACTACTATCAGGATCTCCAAGGAAAGTGTACTGATGATGCAATTCTCTTTCAACGGTTTGTTGAAAAGGAAAGGGTCTATGGTTTTTTAGCCGGTTTGAACCAAGAATATGATCAGATCAGGTTTCAAGTTCTCGATAAAGATCCTTTTCCTTCTCTTCAGGATGCATACTCTTATGTTCAACAGGAAGAGAGCCGACGAAGGGTCATGCTTTATTCAGCACCAATGGAGAAGTCCGGGTTAGATGTGTCTCATGAACAACCAAAGGCGTTCACTTCTGATAAAGATCACCTATACTGTGATTACTGTGGAAAGCCAAGGCATACAAAGGAGACATGCTAGAAACTACATGGTAGACCAACTAGGGGCCGTGGAGGAAAACGTGTAGGTCCATCAGGGGTTGAGGCTAATATTGCAGAAAATGTGGAGACATCCAGAGTAACTACTTCTGGAGAATGCCTTTGGATGAAGTTCAGCATCTTCGCTGTCTCCTGAATAAACTTGACTCTTCTAATGTTGCCACTTCCAATTACGTTCAGTCAGGTTTTGCCTTTAATGCTCACCTTAATTCTTGGATTATTGATTCTGGTGCGAATAGACACATGACAGGCTCCTCTAAAGGCTTTAAAAGCTACTCTCTCAATTCTAAAGGGGATTATGTCAGAATAGCCAATGGCTCCCTAACTCCCGTCTCTGGAACAGGTTCTGTTGTTTGTACACATGATATTACATTATCATCTGAGTTTCCTGTTAACCTCCTGTTGTCTGTAGCGCCATTACCAAAAAACTAAACTATAGTGTCGAGTTCTTTCCTGATCATGTGTTTTTTAGGATCTCCAAACAAGGAAGATGATTGGCAGTGGTAGATTGCATGATGACTTATATTGGATTGATGGAACTCGATACTATAGTCAGGCCTTTTTTGGAGGAAATAAGGGTGTCAACCAAGAAATAATATAGTGGCATAGACGATTGGGGCACCCATCATTTTTAGCTTTAGAGAAGTTATATCCTAGTTTGTTTTCTAGAACTGAGTTTGAATCTTTGTTTTGTGATGCTTGTGAATTTGCCAAGCATACTAGAAACTCTTATCCTTTGAGTGATAATAAAAGTACAACTACTTTTTCGACTATTCATTCTGATGTGTGGGGTCCTACTCAAACAGTTTCTTTATCTGGTAGTAGATGGTTTGTTACTTTTATTGATTGTTGCACTAGAGTGACTTGGGTATATTTGTTAAAGGCAGTGTTGTAAATAGCGGTCGCCTCAGTGCTAATAGCGTGAGGCGATGTGATGCGAGCTGCCGGCGCCATTTTGCTCTGTTGCGTGGCGATTTCAGAAAGGCGAGCGCCTCTGCCTGTGTAGCGAGAGGCGTTGCGATGCGCGAGGCGATGTGTAACGGCGCTTTTTAAAAAAAAAAGAAAGAAAAGGCGACGACCAAACACCCATTAAAATACAAAATAGGGTTGGATTTTTCACTTCTTTCTCCTTCAACAACCATCAACGCCATTTATTTTTTCGATCAATAACTAAATATAGGGGTTGGATTTCATNTTGAGTTTTTAGTTATATGTATATGATATTTTATTTTTTGTATAAATTGTCGCTTCACATTAAAAAGGCGAGCGCTTCGCTGCTCGCCTCTCGCCTCAGTGAAGCAGGCCCTCGTCTCTATTTGTCGCCGCACGCTATCCAAGACACTGGTTAAAGGCCAAAAGTGAAGTTTTCTCTTGCTTTCAGTCATTTCATAAGATGATATGCACTCAGTTTGAGGCTAAGATAAAAATCTTGCGTACTGATAGCGGCACAGAATACATGGATAAAAATTTTGGTGCTTATTTGGAGTCTTATGGGATAATCCATCAAACTAGTTGTTCTTATACTAGTGCACAAAATAGGGTTGCAGAAAGGAAAAATAGGCATTTGTTAGAAGTGGCAAGATCTCTTATGTTTACCACGAATCTACCAAAACCTTACTGGGGGATGCCATTTTAGTAGCTACCTATCTCATCAATAGAATGCCACTAAAAACCCTCAATTTTCTAACTCCTCCGGAAGTATTAAAGGGTAAGAATGATTATACTGTTCCTCCGAAGGTATTTTGGTGTGTCTGCTTTGTTCACACTAGGAACTCTGGGAAACTTGATCCTAGAACCCTTAAGAGTGTCTTTATTGGGTATTCTCCAACACAGAAAGGGTACAAAAGCTATCATCCTCCCTCTAGGAGAATCTTTGTCAGCATGGATGTTACCTTTCGAGAATCTAAGCCCTATTTCAGTATTGCATCATCACCTCTTCAGGGGGAGAACTATAAAAGGGAATAGATGATTCTCTCGAGTTCTATTGTTGAAACCACTGCCAGTACCACAGGGGAAAGTAAAATGGAAGACAGAATACAGGGGGAGACTAATAGACGTTTGGATAGACCTGATTTGAAAACTTACTCAAGGAGAAATAGAATAGAAGAAGTCATCATGCAAACTCCCGAAGCTGAACCTTCTTCTACTAGTGAGTTACCTACATTTCCTAATGAGTTAGATGTACGTATTGCTCACCGAAAAGGAGTCGGATCTTGCACCACCAAACATCCTTTATCTAATTTTGTCTCCTATGATTCTATCTCCCTCCTATAGAGCCTATGCCTTGTCTATTTCTTCTGTGTCTATTCCCCAGAATTGGAGGGAAGCTTTTGCAGATCCTAAATAGCAGCAAGCTATGATTGAAGAAATGAAGGCCTTGTCAAAAAATGTAACTTGGGAACTTGTCACTTCACCACCAAACAAAAAGTTAGTTGGCTGCAAATGGGTCTTCACTGTGAAGCACAAAGCTGATGGCTCAATTGAAAGATTCACAGCAAGA